GCGCTGGGAACGAGGTGGCAGCGGGATTAGTGGCTGGTTCCGACATCTCTATACCTCCCTCTCTCTTATCTCTGTCTCCCCCTCTCTTCTGATTCTCACCCTCCGTCTCCCACTAAAAGAGACTCTGTTAGACAAAGGATGGGAGCAGCGGGGGAAAATTCCTCCAGAGTCATGTGTCCCCCAAACAGGTCGGACAGGTGCAAGGGCCACTCCTATGCAACCTATGCTGCATTCAGGGACCTCGCGGAAGCTCCTACTTCCAGTTATCCAATTTATAAAGTGCATATGTCAGTGTGACAACTTGGTTGTTGTATTATTCCAAATGTAATAGTAATGACGACTACAGATGCAGTAGATTAAATTGAACCCACAGATTTCCTCAAGATCATAATCCAAGGGCAAGTAACATATTGCTATTTTTTAAACTGTAGAGATCAAGCTTGTATGTTGAACACTGGCAAGGTGAAGACAATACAATGTGGATGAGTCATATTAGCTTTAATAAGTAAATATTAGTTTAAGGGTTAGAGTCACAGCTGAGGAGATAGAAGAAGTGATTTCCAAACTGACCCACATTTACCAACACATGTAACTGAAACATCAAGCGATGGAGGGGTAGTATTTTGGGAACATAGTTTTTTTCAAGTAAAATTGCTGTGTTACGTCATTTGGGAGGAGAAGTTTCTAATGGTAAGCCAAAGTTAATGTTTAATTAGGACATGGTTTATGTGAACCAGGGCGTGAACTACGGGGAGCCAGGGGAAGCTTGGCTCCTCTTAATGAGACACGTGCTCCCCTGAAAACATGAATTGTGAAATTTTGGAGGGGTCTCTAAAATATTAACAATATGCAATTGTTTGTATTTTTCAGTATCTTTCTCATCCTTGATCATTCAATTGGGATAATTTTGATGTATGTCATTAACTTATTCATATATCAGATGTGCTGACGTATGACTACATAATTGTTAACTATCATTATCATTGTATTATAAACTAATTTATTTGAAACTAATTAGATTACTAATATAAGATGGTTTTCCTTAATTCATTTTTAATGATTTTGAGATTATTGGTTTGATAAAATAAGCATTATGAAGGTGTCACTTTGGGCTCTGGGTAGCATTTCTCACTACTTTCAGAATTTTTACAAACCAGACAATACATTTTAAAAATAAAGTTGTTATAAGAATGTCTATTATCTTAGATATTTCCAGAAGGAGAGCCTAAATGACATCAACTGAAAAAAACTCAAATGGCTGCCCACAGGACCTTAACCTCCACACATCCATGTAAACACCCCAGGTAATATACATCAGACCAAAGAGAAACTGTAACATATACTGTAATAAGAAACAAGTTTGATAAAGATGCAATACTCAACTGCTGTAAAGTACCAAAACATCAGAAACTGGATTAATAATGTGTATAATAACTCATATCAATCAAACTTTGATACAACAGTGATTAACCATACATTTAGATACTGTATAGACAGAAAACAGGCAGAAACAAACTAGCTTCAAATTTAAGTTTTAATTACAGTAAGGCATATTCAGTGAATTATTCTGATTCAGTTCAGGTGACTTCCACATCACACAGTGTCAGCTAATCTTATCTTCCAGGAATCACAACGTTTACAAGAAAGCCTTCCATTCCATTACACATAAAGGTTTTGGAGGTCTAGTGTGTAGTCGATGACATCACAGCGCATCTGAAGAAAAAGAAAACCCGATTATGAGTAAAATAATATTACCAGAGAAATACTCTCACCACCAGTTCTATTTAGGTCCTCGTGCATATTTGATCAAACATTTACTGCGACTATCTGCTCAAAGCCCTCTGTTGGACACTTTAGATGGTAAAAATCACCAGTTGAAGAACTGTTACCTGAAGTCTGACCAGTCACTTCCAACCTCACAAAGCGTCAAGTATTCTTGTCTTCCAGGGATGACAACATTAACATAACGGCCTTCCATTCCATTGCACATAAAGGTTTTGGAGGTCCCATGTTCAGTAGACGAGATCACAGCACATCTGCAGAAAAAGAATTGTGAGCAAAATAATGTCAAGGGAAAAAAACTATGCAGATCTAAACATTAGCTGTATTTACATATTCAAGATGCCATTGTGGCGAAAAATACGGGTTTCTGTTTGGAAATGATGTAGATATCCAGTGTATTATGCTATTACCAAAAAAGCTCCTAATAGAAGACGGAGGGTGCTGATACCTGGGATTAGTGTTGCCATTGTCCTTGAGGGAATTTCCAATGCGGATCTCAGCTCCATTGATCCTTTCTTGGCAACAATCTCCTCTAATGGTGATGGTGACAGTGTTAATTTCATACGTCTTCAGGAGGTCCAGTCTCCACCATGGGTTTTTATCTCTCTGTGTGTGGGTACAGGATCCTAGGTGCCAGTTGCTGGCATGATTTCCATCAATGGTCCTTTCAGGACCAAACATTGAGGACTGAGTGACTTTTCCACCTTTAGCAATATTTGTGACTGAAAAAAGTTACAAAACTTGTTATTAAAGATAGTTCAAGGAAGGCACAGTAGTATTACATATGTGCCCTAAATCCCCAGAGTACAGGCAGTCAGCATATTTTTAACTTTTACTGCGACTATCTGCTCAAACCCCTCTGTTGGACACTTTAGATGGTAAAAATCACCAGTTGAAGAACTGTTACCTGAAGACTGACCAGTCACTTCTGGGATAGTTCAAAGAAGGCACAGAATTGTTCCCTATGAACAGTGTGAACTGCTAAAATTGACTCAGTTAATATGTTATTATGGACAGTATGAATATTACTTATTTATTAAGTGGTCTTTTGCCTGGCCTAAATTTTTATCGTAATCTGCTCAAAGTATAAATTGTGGACAGTATTGAACTCCCTTTCTTTTAAATAGATTGATCTGGATGTAACCTGTTTTAGGTTGTGTTATTATGTACAGTGTTGGCGGTCGACTCCACAATACCTTTTTTTCCTTGCTCTCTCTTTTCTCTCTTGCTCTTGTGTGGCTTTGTGCACATTTAATGTTTGCAGGTATTCAGCCAACCCCCTTTTCCCCCACAGGATTTAGGTTTCAGCACCAGATGCCCCTCTGTGTCTTCTGTCTCATCTGGCCAGTTTTAGCACTTTATGAAGTGATTATCAAATAAAAAAAAATATTTTAAAGGTCAAGTGTGTAAGATTTAGTTTAATTCAGTTTGGCAGTTTAATTGAGATTACAACTCACTCTCTTCACCCTCCCCTTCCAATCGTGAGGGAAACAAATAAAGAACAAATGAGGAACTAACTGCTAGGGAACCATTAATTAATGTAAAACTATATATATATATATCTTCACTTGAGGGGTCAAAAAATATTACGTTATCATCAGGTAATGATGAAGTAGTGAGGGACTACTGAGTAACTGCTCAGTATGAGGCACCACTTTACTTTAGGGGCCACAAAATATTAAGTAATCATAAGGTAATGAGGGACGACTGAGTGACTAATCAGTATGTATCTCTAATTGGGGTACACATAAACAGTAACAAATGTTTAGGTAATTAGTAATGATTGAACATTGCTAGTTTTGGGCCATTCACTGGCTGGTTCAGAGTTAATGAGGAACAAGTCCTAAAGAATAAAGAAAGTGCTCAGTATGATAGATTCATAGATATTTATGAACTAACCGTCACCTAATAATTCATTAATATAGGCTCTTCCAGTCATTTCTCCAGTAACTGATCATTATCTATTAGTCATCCATTAACAATTATTTTAGGCAGTACTTATTAAGTAATTATTAACTATCAATTATTTCCTGATTTGTTCTCAATAAATGTGTTGCATTTGTCCATGCAAGTTTATTTATCATGCTGTTTGTTTTTCTGCAACACCATGCTGCAGAGCCACTTTTTGCATATCCTTTTATCAGTGCTGTTCAGAAGAGAACTATACAGAAGAGCTAGAAAATATTTTCGTCTTGATTTGGCATGCATTCAGTGTAGTAAACTGGATTTCCTCCTGATTAACAGGGTATGTCTTTTTAAAACTATATCCAAATTAGACAATAATTTATTTGCAGACACATTTCTGTTTTAATAAGCATCTTGTGTCTGTCCCATCTGTTTGATTTTAAATCTGTTTGCCTTAGAAAGATGCACACAGACACAGTACACCTTTGCCTCGGTTACATAGACAAAGTACACATGCACTAATATCTACTGTAAAACAGTCTATGTAAACAAGGCATAACCTTTTCCTAGTTGTCTATGTAAACATAAGTCAGAGAAATAATCTAATATTAATATCAGGATATTACTGTGTTTATAAATCTACCCAAATTGAACCATAAAATCATCTTTCTTGAATGCACACTGTCTATCTGTGATGGTGTAATGCCATTGATCTTTAAGGAAAGCAACATAATCTGATTATGCAGGGACAAATTCTTTTTCATTTCAGTTATTTTTTATTACACACATTTAATACATAAATTGCCAATTCTATACAACACTATAGGTGTAGTTTTCTCCTGCTCTTTGGAAACTCACAGATAAAAAACATGGTGGCTTCATACTATTGACGGCTGTTGTCCGTGATGGTGACAGTGTTCATTTTATGTCTTCAGGAGGTCCAGTCTCCACCATGTTTTTTTTTTATCTTGCTGTGTGTGGGTACAGGATCCCTGTCCCCAGTTGCTGGCACAATTTCCATCAATGGTGAGTAATTAGTTACTTGTCCACCTCTAGCAATATTCGTATCTGGAAAAAGTTACAAAATGTGTTATTAAAGATAGTGTGTGTTGATCAGAATCAGAATCAGAAATACTTTAATATTAAATAATAAATTATTTTTGTTACAAACTCCAGATTTACATACAACATATATTATACAAACAACATATATTAAGAACAAAAATATATATATATAATATATATATATATATATATATATATATATATATATATATATATACACACACATATATAAAATATCAAATGTACAGTAATAATGTGCAAAAAGTGCAAAAAATGATTGTCTATGTTTGAGTCAGATTACAGGGGAGAGGGGGTGTCTGACTCTCTGAGGGAGGCGTTGTAAAGTTTAATGACCACAGGCAGGAATAATTTCCTGTGGCGCTCTGTGGTGCATCTGGGTGAGAGGAGTCTTCTGCTGAAGGTGCTCCTCTGCTGTGCCAGTGTGTCGTAGAGAGGGTGTGAGACATTGTCCAAGATGGACTGAAGCCTGGACAGCATCCTCTTCTCTGCCACGGTCGTCAGACTGTCCAGCTCCTCCCCCAGGACACCACCAGCCCTCCTGATCAGTTTATTTAGTCTGTTGGTATCTGCGACCTTCAGCCCACTGCCCCAGCATGTGACAGCGAAGAAGATGGCACTGGCCACAACAGACTCATAAAACATCCTCAGCATCGTCTGGCAGATGTTAAAGGACCTCAACCTCCTTAGGAAAAAAGAGTCGGCTTTGGCCCTTTTTGTAGACCGCCTCAGCGTTTCTAGTCCAGTCCAACTTATTATTAAAGTACACCCCCAGGTACTTATACTCCTCTACAGTGTCCACAGGGACCCCCTGGATGGAAACAGGGGTCACTGGTGTTTTCACCCTCCTCAGATCCACTATGAGCTCCTTTTGTCTTTGTCACATTGAGCTGCAGATGGTTCAGCTCCCTCCAGGTGACAAAGTTGCCCACAACAGTCCTGTACTCATTCTCATCACCCTTTTCAATGCAGCCAACTATTGCTGAGTCATCAGAAAACTTCGGAAGGTGGCCAAATCTGATCTGACCAAAGCAACCAAAAAACAAGCAGTCACACATTTGATCAAATTTGTACTATATCTGCTCATCAATTGGACACTTTATATGGTAGAAATCAATAGTTGGAGGAATTTTACCTGAAGGGCGACCGGTGACTTCCACCTCACACAGTGTCAAGTATTCACGTCTTTTTGGGATCACAATGCTTTCATAACGGCCTTCCATTCCATTATACACAATGGTTTGGGAGGTGCCAGGTGCAACAGATGAGATTACAGCACATCTGAAGAAAAGGAATTATGAGGGGGGCTAATGCCACATGAAAAACTAAAGTTAACAGAAATTATGTTGTTTTTCTTTTTTAATTGTTAGTAATCTTATTGAGATGAAAGCAGAGTTAATTGTGAAATTAGTGATTTTTATTTTTCACATACTTACAGTCCATCACATTTAATAAAGGTCCTGAGAACCCGTCCAGATTGAGAGCAAAACCCAGCTCTGGAAATGGATCACTGTCATCAGGAGTCTCCTCTCCACTCCACCATTGTAGTCCTGCAGCAGTTCACTCCTACAACACCCACTATATACAACCATAAGAAAAGAAATAGAATAATATTTACCAACTCGCCAATCTTAACAAACAAACGCCAACAACATCGTACAACTACACACACTCTCGGTCCGGGGACAGAATGATGCTGCCGCTAGGTTCTCTGTCAACGACTGCTGTGAGGCCAGACGTTTAAAACACGGCGGATGTTGTGGATGTCACGGGGGGAACCAACCAGCAAAAGACACTCCACCAGCCGAACCCACGTAATTAGCCAGTCAGAAAGGACGCACAGGTTGCCGTCAAAGATCCCTACCGAGACAGGCTGCACACTCCTGTAGAAAACAGGGACAAAACACAGAGACACACCACAGAAGAAACAATACAAAAACAATAATACGAGATAAGAGGCACTAGTGATGCGCGGGCCGACCCGTAACCCGCAGGTCTCGCGGTCGGGTCGGGTTGGGTCGGGTCAAGAAATGTTAACTTTATTGGCGGGGCGGGTCATTAAGGATTAAATATGTCCAATACAGCCTACTTCTTAACACTGTTGGGTAAATCCACCTGCGACCTGACGTCACAAAAGCGCCTATATATATATATTTATTTTGATTAAGATTTGAATTTGTTGTTGCCAGTTTCCAGTGCCACTCGAAAGGCTGTTTTCAAGCACATTTGTAAGACCAAATAAAAGCCTTATTTAACGACATATTTAACGTGTAGGCTATTTAATAGCGGCGGGGCGGGGTGGAGCGGGTTGTGAAAATAGATGCGCTTGTGCGGGGCGGGGTGGAGCAGGTCAAATTATTAAATAAATGTGGGACCAGCGGGTTTGAAAAAACCCCGACCCGCGCATCACTAACATGCACCATTAATGAGAGGCTCTTCTAATAACCAGTGCAGAGAGCATGCATGTTCCAGTCTCAACTGATGCATGACACGGGTCCTCTTTAGACTGTTTCTGTGGCCACCTGATGAGAGAGAATGAGAGAGAGTATTGGGGTGTTACTTTGACCAGGAGCTCTGGGGACACACGGCCTGCATGCATGACAAGGGTCCTCTTTAGACTGTTACGCTGTTTCTGAGGCCACCTTATGAGAGAGAATGAGAGAGAAACTTGTATGGAGAATTTTTTTGAGATCGAAACAGAACAGGTTGCAATTGAAAAAAATAAATATGAGAGAACATATTTCTTCAACTTCAATCAAAACTAATATTTGTAAGTAAAAACATACGACCATTTTGCTTATAAATCAGTCCTCTTTGCTTGAGAGTTCTAAAGTTTTGTTTGCAAATCAGTCCTCTTTGTTTGCAAATTCAAAAGTTTTGCTTGCGAATTCAACTGCACTTGATGGGCGGGGCCTACGCTGGTGGACGAGAGAAGAGTTTCTATTGGTTGGTTGGCTACGTCTTCAGCATTACACCCACTTCTCCATTGTGCTGTGCTGCTTGGAGGTAGCCTGTTGCTCTTGAAACGTTTCCCATAAGTAATGAATTGCGCTATATATCGTTGGCCACAGCCTGCCTAACATTCACAACAACAACAACACAAGTAATGAATTATAATGCCCTGCTGCAAGCACACTGATTAGCAGCAACATGGTTGTCTCTGCTAGTCACGGCCTGAGCAGAGTAGCCTAATGAGTGAGTGAATTACAGGGAGGCGTATACAATGTAGGGCTGTGATTTAAACATTTAGTGTTGCATGGTACTCGCGGTGCCAAAACGTCACGGTTCCTACACAACAGTACTACCGTGGATTACTAAACTACCGCTGAACGCGGTGCCAGTTTCCACTGTGTAGCGGGCTGCCGCTTCTCCTCCCGGCTCCCGTTCTCTACAGCTGTTCTAATGTCAACAAACAGTTGTAACCGTGACGTTTTGGCACCGCGAGTACCATGCACCATCACTAACATGCACCATTAATGAGAGGCTCTTCTAATAACCAGTGCAGAGAGCATGCATGTTCCAGTCTCAACTGATGCATGACACGGGTCCTCTTTAGACTGTTTCGGTGGCCACCTGATCAGAGAGAATGAGAGAGAGACTTGGGGTGTTAGTTTCACCAGGAGCTCTGGGGTCACACTGCTAGTGATGGTGACCCATTAAGCAGTACTTAAGTATATATTTTGTAACCTTCATTATGAATTGAATCATATTTACTTCTTGGGCTTCCTCCTCTCCAATCATCAACAGCTTAGTCCACTCCAAAACAGACAGGGGTTAGTGTCGGTTCTTCTCAGACAGGTCTGCCTGCATGCACCTGTTGAGAGAGAATGAGAGAGAGAATTGGGGTGTTACTTTGACCAGGAGCTCTGGGGACACACTGCCTGCATGCATGACAAGGGTCCTCTTTAGACTGTTTCTGTGGCCACCTTATGAGAGAGAATGAGAGAGAGACTTGGGGTGTTACTTTGACCAGGAGCTCTGGGGTCACACTGCCAGTGATGGTCACGTCGCTGCAGTCTCAAGACCGGACAGCCAGACGCGCACTGCTAAGGTGTGAGATTCTCGGTTAACCACGAGCCTGAAGCTCACTGGCTCTACCGGACTTCGAGGTCATGGTCCTATCCTCGACCCCCAGTGCTCAACTGATGCATGACACGGGTCCTCTTCAGACTGTTTCGGTGGCCACCTGATGAGAGAGAATGAGAGAGAGTCTTGGGGTGTTACTTTGACCAGGAGCTCTGGGGTCACACTGCCAGTGATGGTCGCGTCGCTGCGGTCTCAAGACCGGACATCCAGACGCGCACTGCTAAGGTGTGAGATTCTCGGTTAACCACGAGCCTGAGGCTGACTGGCTCTACCGGACTTCGAGGTCATCGTCCTATCCTCGACCCCCAGTGCTCAACTGATGCATGACACGGGTCCTCTTTACACTGTTTCGGTGGCCACCTGATGAGAGAGAATGAGAGAGAGACTTGGGGTGTTAGTTTCACCAGGAGCTCTGGGGTCACACTGCTAGTGATGGTGACCCGTTAAGCAGTACTTAAGTATATATTTTGTAACCCTCATTATGAACTGAATCATATTTACTTCTTGGGCTTCCTCCTCTCCAATCATCAACAGCTTAGTCCACTCCAAAAGAGACAGGGGTTAGTGTCGGTTCTTTTCAGACAGGTCTGCCTGCATGCACCTGTTGAGAGAGAATGAGAGAGAGAATTGGGGTGTTACTTTGACCAGGAGCTCTGGGGACACACTGCCTGCATGCATGACAAGGGTCCTCTTTAGACTGTTTCTGTGGCCACCTTATGAGAGAGAATGAGAGAGAGACTTGGGGTGTTACTTTGACCAGGAGCTCTGGGGTCACACTGCCAGTGATGGTCACGTCGCTGCGGTCTCAAGACCGGACAGCTAGACGCGCATTGCTAAGGTGTGATATTCTCGGTTAACCACAAGCCTGAAGCTCACTGGCTCTACCGGACTTCGAGGTCATCGTCCTATCCTCGACCCCCAGTGCTCAACTGATGCATGACACGGGTCCTCTTCAGACTGTTTCTGAGGCCACCTTATGAGAGAGAATGAGAGAGAGACTTGGGGTGTTTCATTGACCAGGAGCTCTGGGGTCACACTGCCAGTGATGGTCACGTCGCTGCGGTCTCAAGACCGGACAGCCAGACGCGCACTGCTAAGGTGTGAGATTCTCGGTTAACCACGAACCTGAAGCTCACTGGCTCGACCGGACTTCGAGGTCATCGTCCTATCCTCGACCCCCAGTGCTCAACTGATGCATGACACGGGTCCTCTTTAGACTGTTTCTGAGGCCACCTTATGAGAGAGAATGAGAGAGAGACCTGGGGTGTTTCATTGACCAGGAGCTCTGGGGGTCACACTGCCAGTGATGGTCGCGTCGCTGCGGTCTCCAGACCGGACAGCCAGACGCGCACTGCTAAGGTGTGAGATTCTCGGTTAACCACGAGCCTGAGGCTCACTGGCTCTACCGGACTTCGAGGTCATCGTCCTATCCTCGACCCCCAGTGCTCAACTGATGCATAACACGGGTCATCTTTAGACTGTTTCGGTGGCCACCTGATGAGAGAGAATGAGAGAGAGACTTGGGGTGTTAGTTTCACCAGGAGCTCTGGGGTCACACTGCTAGTGATGGTGACCCGTTAAGCAGTACTTAAGTATATATTTTGTAACCCTCATTATGAATTGAATCATATTTAGTTCTTGGGCTTCCTCCTCTCCAATCATCAACAGCTTAGTCCACTCCAAAAGAGACAGGGGTTAGTGTCGGTTCTTCTAAGGCAGGTCTGCCTGCATGCACCTGTTGAGAGAGAATAAGAGAGATAATTGGGTTGTTACTTTGACCAGGAGCTCTGGGGACACACTGCCTGCATGCATGACAAGGGTCCTCTTTAGACTGTTTCTGTGGCCACCTTATGAGAGAGAATGAGAGAGAGACTTGGGGTGTTACTTTGACCAGGAGCTCTGGGGTCACACTGCCAGTGATGGTCGCGTCGCTGCGGTCTCCAGACCGGACAGCCAGACGCACACTGCTAAGATGTGAGATTCTCGGTTAACCACGAACCTAAAGCTCACTGGCTCTACCGGACTTCGAGGTCATCGTCCTATCCTCGACCCCCAGTGCTCAACTGATGCATGACACGGGTCCTCTTCAGACTGTTTCGGTGGCCACCTGATGAGAGAGAATGAGAGAGAGTCTTGGGGTGTTACTTTGACCAGGAGCTCTGGGGTCACACTGCCAGTGATGGTCGCGTCGCTGCGGTCTCAAGACCGGACATCCAGACGCGCACTGCTAAGGTGTGAGATTCTCGGTTAACCACGAGCCTGAGGCTGACTGGCTCTACCGGACTTCGAGGTCATCGTCCTATCCTCGACCCCCAGTGCTCAACTGATGCATGACACGGGTCCTCTTTACACTGTTTCGGTGGCCACCTGATGAGAGAGAATGAGAGAGAGACTTGGGGTGTTAGTCTCACCAGGAGCTCTGGGGTCACACTGCTAGTGATGGTGACCCGTTAAGCAGTACTTAAGTATATATTTTGTAACCCTCATTATGAACTGAATCATATTTACTTCTTGGGCTTCCTCCTCTCCAATCATCAACAGCTTAGTCCACTCCAAAAGAGACAGGGGTTAGTGTCGGTTCTTTTCAGACAGGTCTGCCTGCATGCACCTGTTGAGAGAGAATGAGAGAGAGAATTGGGGTGTTACTTTGACCAGGAGCTCTGGGGACACACTGCCTGCATGCATGACAAGGGTCCTCTTTAGGCTGTTTCTGTGGCCACCTTATGAGAGAGAATGAGAGAGAGACTTGGGGTGTTACTTTGACCAGGAGCTCTGGGGTCACACTGCAAATGATGGTCACGTCGCTGCGGTCTCAAGACCGGACAGCTAGACGCGCATTGCTAAGGTGTGA